CACTCAGTACGATGTAGAAGGGTAGCCTGTAAGGATACTGGCACATAGTACATGGTTGCAGAAGCAGCCGATACCGTGGCTCGAGGTGCAACTGCTCGATTGCTGGGATCACCTCATGCCAAAACGTGGTCACATTGCTGTAAAAATCTATTAAAGCATCCGAGCTGGCGCTTATACCGATTCGTGTGGCAACTCGTTCTAGTGTGTTGTAACGCCGGAACCCAGCTTCAGTAATAATCCTGAAAATAAAGGACTCTGAACAAATTAATGAAAAATTTTTAGACCCTTTACGACTCTCTAAAAAACCGAAAAATTCCAAAAACATGGGCCATTTAAAAGAGAAATGATTTGTTTTCGTTATTCGACGGTTTTCATATTCAACCCTTTTGAAACTCTTTCTCAGTACACATCATTTAGCGCAACCTAACAGTCAGGAAATATTCGTATTTTAACCAAAACTACCACGCCTGTATGGAGAGTCAGTGTGGTGATCCCAAATTAACGATGTTACTGGGATGCTTCCATACACTGGAGATAGCTATGCTAGACCTTTCTCATCCCTGGAGCAAGTCTCTAGCTAACGCTTAATGCGTGCTCGGTGTATGGGCACCATCTCTTCGGAGGTCTTCCAAACAGTCGCTTGTTTTTTCGCGAGTACCACTTACTAATGTGCGAAGCCCATGGGGTGTCAAGTAATCATCACGTACTATATTAAATTTCTAACTCCCGTCCCTCGTTTTGCTTCACAACTGGTCGCACACGGCTTTACCGGACACACTTAGCCTCTAATTTCTCTTCTGTTTTCCGACTTGGTTAATTACTAAAATTGCTATAATGCATCGAAATCTATCGAAATTTTTCAAAAGTGCTCAGCAAAGCGAATCTTATTAGGTAAGGCGTTATAAAAAATAAGTGAATTATTTGGGTAAGACGTTATAAAAAATAAGTGAATTATTTAGTAGGTAACACCTTCACTCCATTCTAGGTTGGTCAGGCTTATAGACGGCTCCAGTTATGCGTGGAACCGCTATTTCATGACATTGATGGGAAGAACCAGCATGACTCTTGACCTTTTGTGGACGAAGTCAGCGATCTGGTTGATGAGACGAAGGGTTATTTCTTGTTCTTCCTCATTCCATTTCACTGATCGGGTTGCATTAGATGATGAATGAGAAAGCAGCGCATTGTTGAAAATGAAAGAACAATCGTTACCATGTGATGCCCCTGAAATCAGTGCTGTCCAGCTGAAACTGCTCCATAATTTTGAATTCATTTTCCCCGATCTCATGAAAGTGAGACTTTCATCCGAATCAATGTCAGTCATGACTCGAAGTGTGTAGCGAATGTGGTCAAGATTTAAAAAGAGCTGACAACGGCTTGTCTTGAATTTGCATTCACAGTTTGGCACTTTTCATCACAACAAACGATTTTAGTATCCCTTCAGCGCACCCATCCCAAAAGGAATCACAGTCACGGATAACGGTGCTGTCTTTATATGCAGTTTTTCTCATTTTAACAAATTTCCTTTTGCGATAGGTAATTCACAAGAAGTATTCGGCCCGACAATCTAAGATTTAAAGTTCGTCCAGCAAGCTGCATGTGAAAAACAGGCGAAGGAGCCTTATCAAATTACGCCTATCACTTGTTGCCTACTGTAGAAATTGGTATTTGTCATTTTCTGCTTGCTGTAGAAATCACCTTTTTGTATGCCGCTTGCCCTGATATTTGCTAGCAGATGTGCGTTTTCATACTCAAAAACATACGCATACACAATACGATTGTTCCGTGCGTAGAGCAACGCTTCACGTGCCGCCGGTGCAACGAAATTTTGATCTGAAAAAAATTGCAATACCATTCAAACTTTCTGCAAAATCCCAACAATTACAAAATGAACGCAGTGCGATACAGCCTCCCAAACAAACGAATCTTTGCAGTGCATTTCGATTACACTCTAGAAAATTGGAGAAAAGAAAACGAGTAGCCGTTACGATCAAAAATGGGCAACCAGCAAGTGAAGCAGCCGCGGAAAAATTTGCCGGCTCTCTGAATGCGCATTAAATGTGCAACAGTTGACCATAGTGTCAAAACATCTAAGTTACCAGAAACAATGTTGAGAAGTACGTGTCGTTGCTCGGCCTCATTCAGATTTTGCGGATAATCG